AAAAATTTCAGGTGTACATCATTATACTTCTATTTCTGCATAGATTACATCATGTTCACCACCAAAATACTAATTACAACCCATCACCACGCACATGTACCAAATTATCCCTTTCACCCTCCTCCCTCCCCCCTTCCCCTCTGGTAACCACCAATCCAGTCTCTGGAAGGACATCTGTTTTTTTTTTTCAGTGTTTGGCAATTACAAATAAAGATGCTCCAAACATTTATGTACAGGTTTTTGTGTGAGCATAAGTTTTAATTTCTCTGGGATAAATACCCAGAAGAGTGCAGTTGCTAGTTGTATGGTAATTGCACGTTTAGTTTTCGAAGAGTGACTGTACCATAATACGTTCCCACTAGCAATGTGTGAATGATTGGTTTCTCCTCATCCTCCCAGAATTTTTAAAAATTTGAGCCATTCTAATATGTGTGTAGTGATATCTCATTTTTTTAAAAAAGATTAAGACTTTATTTTTTAGAGCAGTTTAAGTTTCACAGGAAAATTGAGAGAAAGGTACAGAGATTTCCCATATACCCCAGCCCCCACATATGCATAGCCTTCCCCGATATCAACATCCCCCACCAGAGTGTTACATTAGTTACAACTGGTGAACCTACAGTGATGCATCATTATCACCCAAAGACCATAGTTAACATTAGGTTTCACTCTTGGTGTTGTACATTCTTTGGGTTTGAACAAATGTATAATAACATGTATCCATCACTATGCTATAATACGGAGTACTTTTTCCTAATAATCCTCTATGCTTCACATATTCATCCCTCCCTCCATCCCCAACTGCGGTCCACCACTGATATTTTTACTGTCTCCATAGTTTTGGCTTTTCCAGAAAGTCACATAGTTAGAATCATATATTGTGTAGCCTTTTCAGATTGGCTTCTTTCACTTAGTAATATGCATTTAAGGTTCCACCATGTCTTTTCGTGGCTTGGTAGCTCATTTCTTTTGAGCACTGAGTAATATTCCATTGTTTGGATGTACCACAGTTTATTTATCCATTCACCTGCTAGAGGACACCTTGGTTTCTTCTAAGTTTGGCAATTATGAATAAAGCTGCTATAAACATCCATGTGTGAGCTTTTCTGTGGACATAAGTTTTCAGCTCCTTTGAGTAAATACCAAGGAATGTGATTGCTGGATCATATAGTAAAAGTATGTTTAGTTTTGTAAGAAACTGCTAAAACCATCTTCCAAAATGGCTTTACCATTTTGCGTTTCCACCAGCAATAAATGAGTGTTCCTGTTGCTCCACATCCTCACCAGCATCTGGTGTTGTCAGTGTTCTGGATTTTGGCCATTCTAATGGGTGTGTAGAGGTATCTCATTGTTGCTTTAATTTGCGTTTCTCTGATGACATATGATGGGGAGCATCTTTTAATGCGCTTACTTGCCGTCTGTATCTTCTTTGGTGAGGTGTCTTTTAAGGTCTTTGGCCCATTTTTTAATCAGGTTGTTTGTTTTCTTAGTAGACTTTTAAGAGTTCTTTATATATTTTAGAGACCAATCCTTTATCAGATGTATCTTTTGCAAGTCTTTTCTCTCAGTCTATGACTTATCTTCTCATTCTTTTGACGTTGTGTTTCTCAGAGGAGAAGTTTTTAATTTTGATGAAGTCCAGCTTACCAATTATTTCTTTCATGGCTCATGCCTGTAGTGTTGTATCTAACAAGTCATCACCATACCCAAGGTCATTAGATTTTTTCCTATGTTATCCTCTAGGAGTTTTATAGTTTCATGTTTTACATTTAGGTCTGTGATCCATTTTGAGTTATTTTTTGTGAATGGTATAATGTCTGTGTCTAGATTCATTTTATGCATATAGATGTCCAGTTGTTCCAGCACCATTTGTTGAAAATATTATCTTTTCTCTCTTGTTTTGATCACTTGGAAAGATTCCATTTATTCTCCAGGGTAAAATAAAGGCAAAATAACAGTAATACATAGAGATTGTAAACTATGAGAAGTCATGTTTAAAAATAGAGCTTTCTCTAAACTATATAATGTATATGACTTAAAATCTTTTTTTAAAATTTCAACTTTCTGTAATGGTTTAATCCTTTCCTTTTTGTTTAGTATTTAATGAAGCTAAAACTAATTTATTCACATCCTTTATTTAACTCACAGTCATTTTTTTCTGGCTGAATAATGCTTCTAACTCTTTAACTTTTTTCTCCTAAATCTATAGTTTTCCTTTTTACTGGATTATGCCCAACCATAATAACCCTTCCAGTTCATCCATTTAGAATGAACTGAAAATAGGTATGATCTTTATTAGAGTTTGTACTAGTTTCCTCAAATTGCTGTGACAAATTGCCACAAACTCAGTAACTTAAAACAACGCAAATTTATTCTCTTACATTTCTGGAGATCAGGTCAGAAATGAGTCGTATGGGCCTAAGAACAAGGTTCTGGGCCTTGGGCTGATGTTTTCTGGAGACTCTTGGGGAGAATCTACTTCTTAGCTTTTCCAGCTTCTAGAGTCTGTCCTCATTCCTTGGTTCTTGGCCCTACATCACATTGCCTTTTCTCCCTGTTTTTTCATTGTCACAGTGCCTTCTCTGACATTGTCCTTCTTGCTTCCCTCTTATCAGATGCTTATGAGTAATAGGGTTTATCTGGATAATCCAGGATAATCTCCCATTTCAACATCCTTAACTTAATCATATCTGAAAACTGCCCGTTGCCATGTCAGGTAACATATTCACAGGTTCTGGGGCTAAGGATGTGGTCATCTTTGGGAGACCATTATTCAGCCTACCGTAGAGTTGAAGATACAAGAAAATGTATGTTTTTTACTTTAAATAGTTTTAAAAAAAATTGTAGTTGCATGTTCAGTTACTATTTACTTTTTTTCAATTATTGTGCCTTATTTGTCATTTCATATTTCATCTTGAAAAGCTTACTTTCATTGTTTTAATATTTTTTTTTCATTTTTTTCCCAATAGTCTTTATGAAATTTGTTTGCAAAAGAATACTGGTAACAGTAAGGGTTATAGAGTATTATTTTCAAGTATACTTCCCTATTGATTTTGTCTTCATTTGTGAAATCATTCACCTTTTTTTAGACTGATCTTGCAGATATGCATGAAAATGTTTTTTACCATCTTACCTTGTACATTTTAAATTGTTCCTTATACTATTGTCACAAAGAATTGTGATTCTTTTGGTAGCTAGGAAATGCAAGGAAGGAACCCTCAGGAAGCTTTAGGTTCATATGGGTGTAATCTTTTCCAGGACCTGGTTCTTATAAATTTATATTCACAAAAGTGATTCTTTTAAAAATCAACTTTCTCTGAAGAGATTCACTGAGAAGTTAAAAAGAAAATTATAACCAATTCATTATGAAAAGAGAGTTACCATCTAATAAGCAAACCAGCATGAATTTATCAGAAAATCTCTGTGGATTTAGCACGTAGGTCACAGACTGTTGAATGATGACGATAATTGCCATTTACTGATTTCTTACTATATAGTAGGCACTGTGCCTCTAGGCAAATTTTTCAGATATTATCGCATTGAATTCTCAGAACAACCCTGACAGTAGATATTATTATTATCAATTTTTCCAGTGATAAAACTGAACATGAGGAAAGCAAAGTGATTAAGTCATGAAGTTGAATCTGTCCTAATTCAGTGTAATTACACTCTTTCTACTATGCCACGATGATTTTACTTGGGAAGTATTAAGGAGCTCTGACAGTGTGGTATATCCTTCTCCATTACTTCTGCTATTAACTTCACTGGTTAGAGTGGTTTGTCTTTTAAACATTGCTAGGTCTTTCTTACTAATAATCTTACTCATTAGTTCTACTTCTCCAAAATCTCACTCAGTTCTCCACCTTTTTGTTAGAGTTTCATCTGAAACTCATTGCTATATAATTGAGATGATTATAGCTTTCTTTATAGCATCCACTGAGGCTGCACCCTGCTCAATTTGGTTGGAATTGAGTTTTCAAAATATTGATCAGCATCCTATTTATAAACAAATCTCTCTTAGTGGGGGTTCTTTCTGCCCATGAACACTCATTCAGTTTTGTTGATTCTTATAAGTTCCAATTTAAGAAGGTAACATTTTCTGACATATTCTCCAGCTCTGAAGCTTTCCCTAATTGACAATCTATTGTCTCTTACATATTAATAACTTACAGTAGTGCATGACACAGTTCTTAGATACTGTTCATAGATATTAATATACTATGTATGACCCTGTTTCCAAAGACGTTCCCTGCCACTACTACCTGTTTTCTCGTGGCTTTAATGTGGGTGAATTAGTTTGAAATTCTCAATAAGGGTAGCCTCCAAAGGATGAAAAGTCACAATAAGGCAACATGTGGCCTATGTAGTTCTCTAAAGGAGGGATGGGGAAGTCTACTATCTATGTAGTGGTGATATTGGGAGGATTTGGGGACTTTTGTTATGCTCATTCCCTTAATCACAGTTCAGCCCTCAATCCTTGTCAGAACAGCTTTCCCTCACTCTAAATACACATTCCTCGCAATATACACACAGCTTGGTCCCAGGCTGTCACCTTGATTTGATTTATTTTACTCTAGGCACAGATCTGACTCTAGCTATATTCCATTTGAGATTTGAAATAAATTAAGATTCTACTTCAGTCTTATTAATTCATTTTATGTCCTACACTTCTGGACCTAAGTGTCTGTATTCTGTGAGGTAGATGGTTTAACTGTAAAATAAAATGAATGCAATTGATCATAATATATTTGAAAGCATCTTGAATTTGGTTTTTGCTTCCAAACATTGTCTTCCATTTTGTTAATGCTAACATTTAATAACTGTTGTGATGACTCAATATCTGTTTCGGTTTATAATTCTTGTGATTCTGAGGCACTCTTATAAAGATGAAAATGAAAGAAAACAGAAGCGTAGTATACATATATATAGTTTCCTTTAAAGTCTTTATTTCTTAAGTAAGTTGGAATAATTTATATTTAATGTGTTCTCTTTTAGTATTGTGCTTCTGTTAAGCCAAAAACAGACACTTGAAGAGCTGAAACAGTCAGTCCAGCAGCTGAGATGTACTGAGGCAAAGTTTACAGCACAGAAAGAATTACTAGAGCAAAAAGTACAAGAAAATGATGGGAAGGAGCCACCTCCAGTAGTCAATTATGAAGAAGATGCACGATCAGTTACATCTATGGTAAGCCAAAGAGTAATCAAATGAGAAACTTGAAAGAGTAGTATCTAGGTAATGAGTGAATATAAAAATTACTTCTGGTTTGCTATAACAAATTATTACTCTTGTTAATATGCAGGTCCTATTAAACTTGTTTGTAAATGCAGACTAGACTTGTCAGTCACTTCAGGTCACCTGGAGAGCACTTTCAGGAACCACCTGTAGAGTCAGAGGAAAAAACTCTTCTCTTGCCTTCAAAACTGAAAACAAAGACTGCACTTGTTTTTATTCCTTGGAGACAGCAGGAAGGTAGGGTGTTATTCTTAAGATAGAAGTAAGAAATAAGGAGAAAGCTATTTATTAATTTTTTTTCTTAAGAACAGTAGAATCTTATTTACCTGATATTGATGATGTGTTTATTGTTTTTACAATACAAAACATTGATTTTGTTTAAAAAAGATTTTTTCTTATAAATATCCTTACACTACAATAAACACATTTAAATCCACCAACTAGAAATTCAGTTTTATTTTATATAGTTTCATTAACTGTTTAAGAATGCCTAGTATCCTTTCCCTCTCTCCCTCCATCCCTCCCTGTCTTCCTTTCTTCCACCTTATGTTAGTGATTCTCACCAAGGGGCAATTTTGTCTCCTAGGGGACATTTGGCAATTTCTCCAGATGTTTTTCCTTGTCATAGCTAGTGGGTGCTATTGGTAGCTAGGGTGTAGAGGCCAGTGATGCTGCTAAACATCCTACAATGCACAGGAGAGCCCCTCCCTTCACACTCCCAACCAGAAATTATCCAACCCAAAATGGTCAATAGTGCCAAGGTTGAAAAAGCCTGAGGTATATCCTTGGCTTGTCTGTGGTTAGTTGGATGCAGTCCATAAAGAGAACTATTATAATTAATGCTGTTATAGTAATTTATATTTTAGTAATTTTTAGTTTGTTTTATTCTAAATAGTACAATTTGATTGTTAAACAAATTCAGATGTTCCCCATAGGAAAAAAGGCTGCATTTGAAAATGTGATAAATATGGAAATTAATATGAAGTATTTAAATTATTGTGCTTATTGCTATTTTTTAAATTAATTGAGCCATACTAATCTACACATTACATTGTGAATTATGAATTATAGTTCCTTGCCCTCCTTTAATGTCCTATCAGATAATAAGGGTCTTACCGTATGTACCAAGGATCCTACTAGGTTCCTTTTCTTGCTTTATAAGTCTTGATAACTATCTGACATATGCATTCTTTCAGAGGAACTTCTGAAGTTTTTTCTTTTACTTAGCTTTTGAAAACTTTAGCTAGTAGATATTTAGTTCTTTGAGTGTGGGTTATAATATTTCCTTGTCTCTGTCGGTGTGAAATTGTTTACTTCATAGCTTGATTTAGTGGCAGATAGGTTAAAACTGGCTATCTAATATATTTTAAGTAATTCTGTGTGCAGATGACCCATGTTGGCATTATTATTATGATAGAATAAAAGATAGTTATTCAAGTCATTAGATGATAGCAAATCTCTATTTGATAACTAAGACTAAAAACTAGACTTTGAAATTTAAAATATAACAGTTCATTAATTCTTATTTCATTAAGAATTTGTGATCATTTGGAGTTTTAGTTTTCATAATTATTGAGGAAAAGCTTTTTCAACAAATGAATAAATGATGTTTCAGAGAGAATATATAATACAGTTTAAGAGAACATATTGCTTTCTGGAACTTTAAACTTTCTCTTATACCCATTTATTAAATGATGATAATACCTGTAAAGTTTTACAGGATGATGTCACGTATTTCATTTTATCCAACTTATGTTAAATAGTTGAAATGCTAATTATAAATATATCTTATCTATTCATTGAAGAATGCCTTTAGTAAGTTTTAAGGAATCTACAAAGAAATACTATAATATATGTACTTTAAAGTAATAAAGTAACATTTTATAAATCAAACAGAGATTCCTCAAATGAATGAGATTTTACAGTACGTTTTATAAAACAAGTAGAAATATTTGCAGCACCTAGTTCTTAAAACTTAATAATACTCCCAAATATATCAGTGAAATTTTTGCATAATTGAATCTTTTCAATTAATAATTAGAATATTACTTTTCAATTTATTCAAAAACAGTAAAAATATTAAAGCTTCAAGTGACTGTTTAAGCATTATTTTATGAATAACATTACAAAAAAAGCCTGAAATTAACATAAGCAGTTCTCTTGGTGTTTCCTCTTTATAAATTCCTTCCTTATAAGTGGTGCAAAATTTCAACAAGGGAAATTTAGTTGACTATTAGAAGAATTGGAGGGACTAAAATTTTAAATTATGATTGAAGGGGAGGAAGACTATCTTTTACCCACTCTGGGTCCTTTCTGGCTGGGCTACAAATTAAATTGACATGAGACTGAATAGCAGGAGAAAATCAAACAAAACTTTATAACATGTATACATGGGAGAGACCTACAAGATGGCAGAGGTTCTCACCTTAAATACTACCTTCAGCTAAAGACAAAGGAGGATGTTGGGGGTGAGGGGAGTCAGCTATGGGAGATTACCAGAAAGCACCATAAACAAGAGTATGAGGATTTAAGTCCTTGCCTTCCACCTTCTGCACTGATAAGCGTTTCTAGAGATAAGGTCATCCCCCCTACTTCCTGGTACAGGGAGGGAGATACCTTTACAAATGGAGATTTCCCTTATAAATGTAAATGTGTCTTACAAAGGGTAACTTCTACTTTTCAAAGCTTCTTTCCGTTCTGCAGCCCAAAATAATCCTCATGCCAAAGAGACACATTTTGAGGTGGCGAATTCTGATCTCCCGCAGTCCTGCCTTTGAAACCAAGAAGTTTCACAGTCCTTTTGAAACTTAAAAGAAGTTTCACAGTCGAGAAGCTGAGTTCGTAGATTGTTCCATCTCATTGAACACATTTCTTAGTCCTGATAATAGATCAGTCCATAGTTAAGTTCATTTTAGAAGGTGGTGATGCAGGTGGCTCCCAAAGTTAGGCCTATATTGTGGAAGCAAGCAATCAGGTATTTAATAAGAAGCATTTCTATGGAAACAAAAGAAAAACAAGGTTAATGGTTGGAGCAAATTATAAACCAGTTTCTGAGCTTAGAGGACAGCCAGTTAAGAAGATTTCTAGATGTCAGCGTCAGAGCATCATTTGCAGCTTAAAATGTATCTGATGATGTCGTTGGGTATTCAGCTACCTTTTCTGAGTGGCTAACATAGCAACAGACATGAATCTCTCTTAAGTTTATATCAAGACCTCCAGCTTCAGTTTGCAAGGCTTCAGGAAAAAGGGCAGGTTCAGTTCTCAGTGATTTCAAACGAAAATGATGGAAAAAATCAAAAACATTAGTTTGGAGATTTGTAGCCAGATATTTCAGGAGACTAGAAGAATTCAGGATCCAGTCCAGTCAACAGATATAAAACAAAAACCTCAAAGACAACAAAACTAGGATCTAATACCTGCAAATTTGTACTATGGTTTTTATTGAAATATAATTTTTCTCTCTAAAATCACTCTCATTTTTACCAAAGATAGCGAAATTAAGACTAACTGGTTTGTGAAATAAGTATAGTTTCAATAAATTTGGCCCAATTATTTACATAAGTACAGCAAGAATAGCAACTGGTCATATAGGCTCTTTTAAATCTGCTTTGCTGGAACTTTTTGTAGGGAATCTCAGATCGAACTTTAAAGGCCTCTTGAGGCCAGGAAAGCTAAGCCAAGGATTTTATCATCCGACTTTGCCTGCAATACCTACAGATTTGGGTGAATTCCTCTGTTCTCAAGGTCCCCCAAAATATTGAGGTTCCTTGCACCTGCCAGATAAGTGACATCCCTTGCTTATCCAGTAAGTGTTACTTGGAATGCTGTACATAAGGTACTAGGCCAATATTTTCATGTGGATTTATTCCATAAAGTCCAATCTTTGTCTCTCAAAAGCTGTCTTGTCATATCTGAGTTTGTATGTTTTTCTCAAATAATTTATTTAGAAGATCAGCCCTGAGCTAACATCTGATGCCAATCCTTCTCTTTTTGCTGAGGAAGACTGGCCCTGGGCTAACATCCGTGCCCATCTTCCTCCACTTTATATGGGATGCCGCCACAGCATGGCTTGACAAGCGGTCCGTGGGTGCGCGCCCGGGATCTGAACCTGCAAACCCCAGGCTGCCGCAGCAGAGCACACCCACTTAACCGCTACGCCACCAGGCCAGCCCCCAAATTTATCTTTCTTAACAAAACAAATAAAAATATTTCCATTCTTTATACCTTCTTTACTAAAAACATATCTTTCCTTCTATGCAAACATATTTTCCTGATTAATTTCTAGTAGCCTTAACCGCATATTAGAATTTTAGCCCTTAGAAACCTTAATTTTTAAGTAAATACTAAGAAGTAAGCAATTATAAACTTTCTTTTACATTAATATTCCGTGGCCTGACAAACCTACAAACGCTTTTCACAATTTCTGGAAACATGTTACTTTATAGTATAATCTTTTAATTAAACATAAGATATATTTACCAATAGACCCAAAACCCCTTTTAGTTTTTCTGTAAGAAGAAGCGAAAAGTAGATAAGCTTATATTTAGTAATTAATATCTAATATCTTATCTTATTTGAAACGATATAAATACTCAGTGAATTTTTATCATTTGACCTAGCACAACTTCAAAGTTTCAAGTTACCACAGAGATTTTAGAAGTTAATTACAAACTATGATTATTGCCAAAAGTTTATCTGTAAAGTCTAAATCACTTACATCTAAATCATTTGTTTCCAACCGTTGTCTTTTGATGACCCACAAAAACTTCAAAGACATTAGTTTTTATTTCTCTATCATATATGAAGGATAGTTTTGCTGGATAGAGTATTCTTGGGTGAAAGATTTATTTTTCAGTATTTTGAATATGTCATTCCATTCTCTCGTAGCCTGTAAGATTTCTGCTGAGAAATCTGCTGAAATCCCGACGGGGTTTTTTTGTAGGTTATTTTCT